GCCAGCCTACAGACAGCGTGGTTCCCAGCAATTTTTAGGGCACCTTATCTAGCCCCCTCCCCCTCGCGAGGGCAGGCAGCGCATCCTCTAAATTGGGCTGCCCGGTTATCCCAGACGGCTGCCGGACTCCACTATGGGCCACGACTTTTTGTTAGTGAGAGAACGACCCGAATTAGCCTGGGACCTTGGTGGTGATGCTGATGTGATGGAGTGAAGTAGGAGAGAGTATACACACAACCAAACGCTATGGGACTTAGAACTAGAGTGGACAAGCAGACACAGTAATCAGTCAGAGACAGAAGTGAAAGAGGGCACCATTCAAGCGTCAAGCACCGTAACGCCTAGGTGTTAGCAGAGAGAGGCATAGACTGACAGACAGACAGTCGCAGTAGGCATCAAGAGTTTCATCTAAATATTAACAGACAGACTAACATATAGAGGGCAGGCAACAAGAGCAGCATACAAAACGGAATTTCAACAGACAAAAGGAAGAAACAAAGCAATTCACTTACCTGAAGAAGAACTTACCTGGTAGCCTCCTGCGATGCTCCAGGCAGAGCCTCGTCTCGACGATGTCGACGCGAAGATCCATCCGGCCAGCGGAGACCACAGTACCACGTGTGCCGGTGCACGCACGGATACCCTCACTTGGTTTAGCCCGCCTGTCGAGGCGGTTGCCCGGGGTGTGGCCGCTGAGCAGAGCCCAGCTACTTGGAGCCACAGGTGAGAGTTGGGTGTCAGCAAATGGACGCTAGGCGTAGTCTCACCTGCAAGCAAGTGAGCGACCACTACGACCATCACGTGGACCCACCGCTGTCACCCCTACACCCCACAAATAAACTAACTAACAAAACACACACACACACATCTGGGCAAACTGCGTGGACTGATTTGGGATGTCAGTCGTCCGCCTTCCAAGCCACAGCGCTTGACGTGCCGTGATAGTCTCAGACCCGAGTCATACCTGAAACTGGGGAGCCGCATGGAGACGGAGTCAAGACGCACACTTCCCACTCGCGCAGGAATTGGCAGTTGAGTGCTTACTGTGGGTGATGTTGATGTACGATGAGATGCTGGTGAGGGAGGATGTGGTGGTGTGATTTAGCTGGCGGTTGTCTACTGCAGGTTTCCGTGAATGTGTATGCGGCCGAAGAGGTCCATGCGATGCATGAATGTACGAGTGCAATGTTGACAGTGGAGGTGAATGCGGCGAGTGAAGGTTGGTGTCCTAGGCACTGATTCTCCAGTCTCTGTGCGATGGATTCGCAAGTGGCCGACTAGACCGATGCGCGAGGCAAATATGCGATCGTAATTAGGGCAGGTATAGACGGGGGCCTCATCACTGGCGTTGACGATGATGGTGTTGATTGCGACGGTGGTGGTGGAGGAGGAGGAGGAGGAGGAGGAGGAGGAGGAGGAGGGGGAGGAGGAGGATAAGGATTAGGGTGTTAGTGGGGGTCCAGGACTGTGGTCAATGTTATTTGTCTGCGTGGACAATGAGGCGGATTTGGACGCGGAGACAATAGCTGGTGTAGTCCGGGTGTTAATTGTACAACGTCCAGGTCTCCGCTCCATACAGCAGCGTCGGCAGAATGACCACCTTGTACACCTTCAGTTTGGTGTTTAGGTGGAGGCCGTGGTGATTTCTGACTGTGCTTTGCAGACGGCCTAAGGCTTAGCTGGTTTGGGAGATCCGGCGGGTCACTTCACCGTCGATCTTGGCGGTGCGGGAGAGGGTGTTGCCCAGGTAGGTGAAGTTGTCCACGACTAGCAGTTGGGCGCCGTTCACGTTGTTTATGATCAGGCCGAAATTGTCGCAGGTGGCGCCGATGACGTCTATGCTGCGCTGCATGTCCCTTTCTGAGTTTGCGTTGAGAGCGCAGTCGCCGGCGCAGAGAAGTTCATGGACGCGATTGGTAGTGAATCCGCCGGTGGTTGAGGAGTTGGCCGTTCGTTCTGTAGTCGACGCGGATCCGGGGGCGTTTGTCACGGTAGGCGTCCACTAGCATGACAGAGAACATTAGACTGAAAAGGGTAGCTGCATTGAGGTCTCCAACAGCTAGTTAGCAGTCACAGTTGGTAATTAATACCACCACGACGCTGTTGTTCATTTGATCAGAGATTCCATTCTCTGAGTTTGCAGTGACAGCTTGGTGCCTCAAATACTAACGTCCGCCTCGCATACAGGACTGATATTGTTAAATTTCTGAACAGAGTCGTGGCTTGCGGATTTTTTCTGTGCTTCAAGTTTCTGGCTCGCATGGCCATCTCAAGGTGTGTCAAAAAAGGGATAAATATATACCATACCTTCGACCTGTGGCACGAGAAGAAACGATAAAGCCGAAAAAATCGACATTTTCTCTTACCACCACCGTGAATATTTGTGCTTTTGCAATTTATTGGCCTACTCAGGCTCTATTTTATTTCTAGGACAAACTAACAAGCGATGGCGCATGGTTTGAGCTCGTGTGAGAAAATTATTAATAATAATAATCTTATTTAATGCCAGTTTACAGGCATTGTCAAAAAGCTCAATTATGGCTTCATCCATTCGGGGCATATTTGGGTCAGTTTAACTTTTCGAGCATTTAGCCGATTACATCGACGATCGTTTATATTATTTATCTGAAATATGGCAGAAATACCAGCAGTGTATACGGCTTTCCATTGCAAAAGGTTTTTGTCATGTTAAACAAGAAAATATACGCGAGGGAGGGTGCATTCATACGCTTGTCATCGACAATTCTCAACGCGACACCACGATACCACATTAACAAAGTCAGCCACAAGGAAAGGATTTCGCGCACTACGCTCTGACTCGAAGTCCCGAGTTTGCGTCCTCACCCCTCCTCCTCCTCCTCCTCCTCCCTCGCTTTCTTTCTTTCCCGGGGCCTGTCTCGGGAGGGAGCTCGAGTACGACAGAGAAAATGTCTTTTTCGATGCAGGTGCGTGCGTGCGTGCGCCCACAGTCAGCTGTCTATGCATCTATCCTTCTGCTGATTGGAGGACTCGGCTGCTTTGCGCTGTGCGCGCCGGCGGCGGCGGCGGCAGCAGTAGCGAGTGCCCTCAGACAGGCATCGATCCTGCCGCTGTGCGAGCGCCGGCGTGCGTACGTATGTGCGCAAGCGCCTGACATGTGTGTAAATTCTGCTGGCTTGCTGCTCCGGCGTAGGCAGCCTATTGACCACCACCAGACAGCGTCGCTTGCTTCGGCAGCACGCATGTGCGCACAATTGGTGTGCTTGCCTGCATGCCTGAGCCAGGCGTTTTAATGCCAGTCCGTCGGGCAGGCAGCCAGCCAAAGCAGGGTCTTCTGCTGTGTATGCTTGACTAGACGGATATCTACCTCTCGAGAGGCGTGAAGATGTCGCGTTATCCCCAGTTGAGTCCTTACGCCAGCCTTTCTAGCTCCTTCAATGAGAGAGCGGGCCCCCGGATCCCGGATACTGCGGATCGTCGTTATCATCACCGCGTGGTTCCCGTCGCGCAGCGGTCAGGCGCTCCTCACTATGCTCAAGTGAGTCTGTAAAATTATTAGAACAGGACTGGATTTTGAAGGTGCATTGAGTTAAACCTGCAGTACTAGGTCCCGATTTCCGTGAATTCGATACCCCGCATCGGAATTTGTCGATTCTCCTGTCCGTGGAAGTGCTGAACTGAAGACATTCTTAGCTAACCTGTTTACCCAAGAGTAAAACATAGGTAAACGCAAACAGACCAAGCAATCCCCGTAGTTTCTGTGAGCGTTATACTGCGGTTACGAGCAGTTACAGTGAAAGAAGTTGCCAGTGGTCTTGCATCCTTAAATCCTGTACTGTGCTGGGGTCATGCAAACGTGGAGTTGAGTAGGGCTGGCTGACGATTGCCAATAAGCTAGGAATAGCAATTCCAGTCCCTCTTGACTTTGTCGGCACTTCTCCTCACCCCCTCCCCCCTTCCTCCTCCTCCTCCTCCTCCTCCTCCTCCTCCTCCTCCTCCTCTTACACTTAGTTCCCGTTAGAAATTTGAGTCGCAAAGATTGGCTGTCGCCGTGTAGTTTGCCATTTGAAGGCAAGATCCGCGTAGAAGCACACTTAGGTGGGGGCAGAATGTGCTTGAGCGAAAGTAGTATTATTATCGATCTGCGAGAATCCACTTCAGTTTTCCGTAACCCCCCTCAACTTCATTCGAGCTCATTCTTCGCCTTATTTAAACGCTCTACTTCAGTTGTCAGAAGGACACTGGGACCTCATAGGTGCAGAGAGATCAGCTGACTTTCTCCAGCGAATTGTGAAGATGTCGGAAGGAGGGGGAGGGGGGGTGGTGTCGCCCTAAAAGTTACAAAATAGATAGGAAACGCTCGGTTTCGTACAGCCTGTTACGGCACGAACTTGTAAATCGGGTAATATGGTTAAGAAAATCTGCGGCAGGCTGAATCGGGAAGTTGATCCCGCATTGTCAGTCAGCGTTAATCTCCGTTATAATGAACGACCCATTCGATCTGCGTGTGGGGGACTTGAAACTCGGCGAGGCTAGAAAATCACGCAACGCCAAACCCAAAATCAGAGACGCAAGCTTATAACTGGGAGCCATATGTATTTTTAAAAATAGTCGTGCCACGCAACAGACGCCGTTTCTTGTTCATTTTTCTGTGGCCCACTCAATATTTGAACGAGTTGCCACAATTTGTTCGAATCGATCGTGATTAAAACATAAAAAAAGAATGTTGCTCAGGCTTTGGGGTTCTTGGGTGGCAATGTAAGAGAAAAGTGCAGATGTGTGCGGGCTCTATCTTTTTTTTCCATCGGGACGTTTTTTGGCCGCCCGAGATCTCTTGCGCGCGTTTGCTGTGGCCGTTCGGCCTGATGCCTCCTCGTTGGGTGACGTCATTGCCTGGCTGTCTTTCATTGACCTTACTAGGTTCAATGCAGTCATCCTACCATCATCCCAGTGTCGATTATGAAGTAGGGTTCGGTAGGGGACAGTGAGCTTGGTGTGCCTGTTGATGAGACCCATGCCTAAAAACTACGTCCCTAGGATGGACCGCCCTGCCTTCAGACCGCCCAAGCCTAGGATGATCGTTCCTTGAAAGTCAAAAGTGTTACAATTTTCCCCAACGTTGGCTGCAAGTCGACGGTTGGAATTAGTCTTCCGTATTGCTGGTCTGTGTTCGTGCACACGAGTCAACAATTTTCGTACAGCTTCCCCTATCCGTTAATAACCGTTATAATTGCAGGAGGCTGGGGTTGCAATGGTCAACAGTGGGTCCTTCGGTTGCTCCACGAGGCAGCGGATTGCGGCCTGGAGTCTAGGATTTATATCTACCTAGGGGGACCGGAGCAGCCGGAGCAGGCCATCCCAGAAACTCTTTTGGTGTAGGGTATGACAACCCGGACTTTTGACTATTGCTCTTCTAGCCGTCATTCGTCCGCCTGGTGTTTGTTTTGCTCAACAACGTTGTTGCGCTGAGGTGTTCATGAAGTACAGTCGTTCAGCCGTTTGTTGGCCGTTGTGTTGCAATATTTCAACTATTTTGGATAAAGGACGGACACAACTGTGCTCATGAAGTAAGGGGGTGGTTGCTATGACAGGACGCACCTATTTGGTGTTGGTGGTTTTTCGGAAGAATTCCGAGCGACTCATTCATTTTCAAAGAATGCTATAGATTTGGGGGTATGTATTCACCCGAAATATCATATAACTGTTAATGCCATTCTCAGCCTCCAGTTATATTGCACTCTCCCTCCCCCTAGGCCCATATGTCAAAATTTGGTCGAGGCGGGAATTCACGTCTCGCAGGATAATAGAATGTAGATACAACCCGTCCGTATTATCGTTAAAACCACTTCTAATAGGTATTGCGCTGTATGTTCGAGCAAGGGTACTGAGAGTACCTAAAATTAGTCTTTCTGTTGGATTGGGTGCCCATGTTCGAGCATCCGTGTCGATGGCCACTCATCGGGTTGTCTGTAGATATGCATATGCGGCAACCTCCTCAATCCGCTAGGCGACAGACGGCTGGAAAGGTGTCACTTTTCATCGTCGGTTCGTCTATAAAGCCAAAGAACGCCTAGGCGTCGCGTCAAGTTTTCTGAAAAGGAGGATGTTCAATCACCGACACTAGTCAAGTGGCCTATCAAATGTGCCCGCCTTATTATAACCAATCGCTCAGCATGTAACTCACGACTCTTAGAGGCGGTACGAATGGGGCGACATGCGTCCATATTATTCAGACTTCCAGGATTCTGACAAGTTGATCAATTTTACGTCTGTCACGAGGCGGAGGAATGCATTTAACTTCAAGTCGGACTACTCTTGCCAGCCTGGTGGGACCGCTTCTGGGACTTTTGAAAATTTTCGAAGGCCTCAGGGCGTCACTGTCTGCCTTTACTTAGAGCCCCACTGGCAACATTAATAACATGGAATAGTCAAAGCGGTATAAGCAAAGACATGCTCGTTTTTGTTGGCTATACGTCACTTTGTGACCGCTTGCGTAGTCTTCAGACCGGAGCATAAAGACACCGCAACGCTCGCATTCCGCCGCGCACCCAGAATCGACCTGCAACGACCACTTCTGGGCAACTTCCACTAGTATTTTTTTCGAAATGGACCTCTGTAAATAAAGTAGGACTTGGTTTCTCAGGAATTGAGGTGGCTAGGCCTATGTAGGTACGTTGGAACGAACAGTCCAATCACCTCAGCCGTTGCTTCTCTATCACATTACTTTTTCATCATTATTTACCTGGCTTTAGTCTTGCTGGATAGAGCGTCATTTGTTCGCGTAAATCCCATTTTAGTGGCAGATCCTCGAAGTGGCCACTTCCAGTTAGCCTCTTGTTAGTCGACTCATTTTTAGACAACAAACGCCTCCTTTGAAGAACTAAAACAATTCACGTTTCAGGCGTTGCTAGTTACTTTTCCGAGGGATTTCGGGAGCGCCGAATGTCATTTTGAGGTGGACTAGCACATGAGCCCTGATAAAATTGCCCCTACAAATCACGGTTAAATTTCCTCCTTTTTCTAGGCGGTGTTTCTACTTTTGTCCACGCGCTTGACGCGCAAATTCCCGTGGGCGGACTGACTGCGCCATTCAGTCAGCCGAAGCACTCGGGGGGGGGGGAGGGGTAACCTG